CACACACACACACAAACAAAGGAACAAAGACTAAAAGTTTGGAGTACTAATTGTTGTTCTTTGCCATTTTACTGACCTTTCTGTAGTAACGTCACCACTTTATTCATATATCCAATAACTCCTTAAATTTGCTGATCTATATAACATCCATCCATCATTCCAAACACACTCACCAGGTCGACATCCACTGCAATCCTGTCCGAAGCGTGTAGGGATACAAACACACTGCCCTGTAGTGCTGTCACATACTGACCCCGCCACTGTCCCTCTGGGGTCACAGATACATGGTACACAGCCCTGGGACAACCCCTCTGATGAGACACAAAACATCAGAAAGCAAAACAGATTCAGACGTTCTACTTACACAACAGCTCTAAACAACAAACAACAAAACATGCCCTCAGACAAAATCCTAATACATAATATAAAAGAATACATTAGTTACATAACAGCCTTTTTATGTAAATAAAAAGTAAGCATGTTGTCTCTCAAATGACTCTGTGTTCTCTTACTCTGGAGATGTAAACTCCTGTTGTAGTAGTTGTGGGCACAGTTGGTACAATGTGCTCCCACAACTCCCTCTCGACATGGGCACTGTCCGGTCCACATATCACATACGCCCTCTGGCACAGTGCCATGGATGTCACACACACATGGCAGACAGCCCAGGGAGTTTCGCTGCTCCAGGGTGTGGTAACCATGACGACAAGAGTCACAGTGATGGCCTTCCACATGTTCCTAAAAAAGAAAGGAGGAAGGGTTTACAAAAAACTCAGACTACCAAAGAGACACCCAAGATAAACTAGACAAGAATTGCCAATAAGGTTGAACTGGTCAGTCAATTTAAACAAGCTGGTTGTCAGTTTTTTATGCAACCTGTTTAGTAAGTCGGATTTACAAATAGTGGCAGTTGTATGGTGTTAGATCATTCAGATTATAAAGAATTGAAAAAAACTGGATGAGAAAAACTGGATGACACAAGACAGGTCAAGTCAGGACAAATCCATATCCAGTGTAAATAGTCTGCTATTCTATAAAAGTAATGTTTATTTTTCTCAAGATTTAATTTCAAAGAAACTTCTACACCTCATCATCACCTATATCGTATAGACATCCATCATTTCTTCTGCTAAGAAACCAAAACTAAACTAGGTGGCTTCTGCCTTTATTTTGCTCCAGTTTCTTGTTGTTGTGAAAATATTTACAAATCACCTCCTGATTCATAAGCTCTCATTAGTGTGCTTGACATCAGCCAGCTATTCTCATCACATATTTTGTCATAATGTAACTGCTAGGAGGTTGTCTGTTTTTTCCAATACAAGACGGTTTGTCATTCATTATGGCAGAGTCACTTATGGTTGACATTATAGTATGTACTAATAGAAAATGTACACTTGTTAACTTGCCTTACACACACACTGTCCTGTATGAGGATCGCAGTCTGTTCCAGGTACTGTCCCGTCTTGTGAGCAGTTGCAGGGGGTGCAGGATCCCTCCAGTCTTAAACCATACAAACCCTTGCCACAAGAGTCACAGCGCTGGCCCCCCACTCCAGGTTTACACTCACACTGTCCGCCCTCAGGCTCACAGAACGGGCTGAGGGAACCCAGGGGGTCACAGTCACATGGGATGCAGCCGTCTGGGTGGGACAGGTTCCAATAACCAAACTCACAGCGGTCACAAGAAAGACCTGGAAAGAAACCATGAGAGATAAAAAGAGAGAGAGAGAGAGAAAATGCATTTACAGAAATGTTGAGGAGAGGTGGGCCGGCTGAAAGAACCAGAAAATACATTTTAAAAAGCGAATGTATGCCCACTTGTTCACCAATAAGCGTTTAGCCTTTCTCTGTTTGTAGGCAAGTGTGTATGCGTGTATGTGTGTGCGCGCGTGAGAGAGAGTGAGAGAAATGGTGGGTGAGTGTATAAAACTGCCATCATTAGGGCCAGGCCCTCTACATATGATGGATCACTCACCTAAGGCCAAACACTTAATTTCACTGAGCGAGAAAATAAATAAATTAAGCAACTACAAGAAAAGAATGGAGGGAGAGAAAAAGAGAAGATGGAGGGATGGAAAGATGGAGAGAGGAGCATAAATATAATAATGAATTGCCATCACGTGTAAAAACAAGAAAAGGTGATTTCCATTCATGAGAAAACCTTGACTTTAAACTACTTAATCTTTTTCTGTTTATTGCCAAATTATCTTTTTTATAACTGTTCATTATTAAAGAATTGTCAGAATACAAAAAAGGAACAATTCAGTAAAGCATGTGAAATGACCCAATTAACAGTTTCAGTTCAGTTATTGCTCTTTATTCATTCATTTACTCATATCTTAAATTTAGGTTTAAGTCTTTCAGATTAATGTTATTTTATTCTGTCAATGTGGCAAATTATGTCTTAAATGATTTTTATTCTTATAATTATTGTATAATAACAACCACCAAAACAGATCACACTGTGGGAGGCTGTGATGGCTACAGCAGCAGTGCTAGGCTAGTTAAACTATGATATGCAGTGTGAGCGAGCAGAGCTTATTTGAATATGCCATACGTATTCTATGACAGGCAATCTGTCCCTAAATGGATGCCTGGGGGCAACGCAGTCACCACGGCCGTTTATGAGGGAGCGTGTGTTCGTATGTGGGTGGGTGTAAATGTGTGCGCGCACATACATTCATGAGAGGAAAACCTGTACATTTGTATTGGTGCACATGACCAAGTGTGCGTGTGCGTCTGTGCGTCTGTGTGTGTGTCCTGCTCGGTGTGCGGCAGACACTTGGCATTTCCCCTGGTCTGCCCACTTTAATGATTTTATA